AGAAATCCTTTTTTATTTTTTATTTCTAACGTTTTTTTTTTCTATTTCTGTTTTTGAAAGACATATATTGCTATTATAATGCGGCTTCGGATTTCGGTGACACATTTTCCATTCTTCATTTTCTATACTTGCCTGATTTTGACATCTCTAATAGGTAACCCGCATCCTGGGCTCTTCTTCTCGCTAACACCTATGCATTACACTTTTTTACAATTTGAGATTAGTCCTTTCTTCCCGTTTTTCTTCAATGTTCTAGGAGTGCCTTTTGTAATTTTCTTTCCGTGTTTGCCATCAACACTGTGACATCTGCATACTAAATGTTGTTTTTATAATGGCAACGAACACTCGTTACCACTTTTGTGATACCAACAAATACTTGTTGTCACTATGTAATGTTCGTTGTAGTAGAGACTTTGTAATCACAGTCAAAACTATAGTAACGCCGTCGAATAATGCTGGTGTCAGGCGCCTTCGAATAACACTCGCACTAATAGTACTTGCTCGATTATACACGCTCGAAAAGTAACCACCGTATAGTATAGTGAATAGAGTATAGAATAGCGCTTCGAATAGTATAGAGGATAAAAAATGCCATCCGAATAGTAATAGAGGATAGACTAGAAAGATATATTGTTTAGAATTCAAGCTACTTTCTACTTATGCGTTTCCCCTATGGTCACGTGGTGTACTTAATTCAATAATTGTATCGACACTCTCTGTCGGCAGCGACACTTTATTCCTATATAACATTTGTGTAGATTGTGCCCACTAGTAATAAATCCTGGTAGGACTTCTAGTATTCATTGCGTAGATTTGAGTTAAAAGTTGAATAAATCAGTTAAGAAAACATATCTTTAAAAAAAATCCCGTTTTGTATTTCTAAAAGTTAGAAGTCCGTTTCTTTTTATACATTGCAACTTCATGAATTTAAGCGCGGTACTTGATTGGCTGATAGGTCTCCCAAAGTCTCATTCGAAATTGCTAGTTATAGCCATATGTTCTATACTAATAGTTTCTTCTCACGCTTTCGTCGCTTTAGGAAAATCCTCCTGCTTTCTGCTTTCCTGTCCAATATGATTTTCATAAATATGTATGCAATGTCGATAGTCGTGTGATGTCTCCTTGAATCCTATTCTTTTATTCACCTCTCTGTTTGTTTTTTCACTCTCAGTAACGCTTGCTTCCGAGCGATTTTTATTGCCTTGTTAGGGCAGGATTCAATTATTTTTTTAAATATTATAAACTCTCATTTTTGGTGACTCAAGGTAACACTGATTTGAGAAAAAATTATTGAGAATTCAATAGACGGAACATGTAAGAAATTGGGAAGTTTTAAGGAAAATTGGAAGGAAAATCGCGAAATGATATTTAAAGTTTATGAAATATATAGTGGGAAAAGAGAGATTGGAGACTTTGACACTCGCAAGACATATTGAAGGTAAAAGAGAAGGAGAGAGGGAAGTAGGGATTAGCATACCTAACGAGTTTGTAAATGTCAGAACAGAGAATGAGAAGAATAGTAAGAGGTGAAATATTGCTTTGTGCTTGAAAGGATAGAAAGTTCTAGAGAGCCATATAACATTTGTATAGATTGTGCCCACTAGTAATAAATCCTGGTAGGACATCTAGTTTTCATTGCGTAGATTTGAAGTAAAAGTTGAATAAATCCGTTAAGAAGATATATCTTTATGTTTTTCATTTCTGTCAGTATCCATACTGTTTCCTTCAAGTGCTGAAATAGTTCATGACCTTTGCCCAAGAAATCTACATACCCCACCGGCTTAAATAGGTCTTTATCACATAGCTCATCAAAAATAGGTCTTTACGTCATACGTTGTCAAAAATAGGTCTTTGAGTCAATCTCATTAAATTTTTATCTCCCTTTAACTCAACGCAGCAAGTTTTTTTTGTTTTTTTTTTCACCACTGCACTAACCAGGTACTGAACTCACAACTCTTTGAATCAATTCACTGGATACAATCAAAGCTTTTATTCACTGGGTCATGTGTCCGTTTGGTAAACAAAAAATATGGGGAGGTGAGTTAAAGGGAGACAAATGAGATATCTGGAAGAGGCATGGCACATGGAACTAGAACAATCTACCCGGTGGACGAATTAAAGGGCTCATTTCGAAATTCCAATCTCCTGAAGAAGGCCGCAGAGTACAACGGTCGAAACATCACGATTATGGTAAAAAAAATGAGAACAACAGCCCGAACAATGCAAATAGTATAAACGATACCTCTTCACAAAATACAGAAGTTCATAGATTTATCGGTCAATGTGATGTGCAGTATTACGCAAAACTTGGGATAAGTAGCTTTAACATTTATTAACTTACTATGTGTGTGTATATATATATATATATATACATTTTTTTTCTGACTGAATAAATTACAAACATGTCTGCTTATTTTTATCACAATCCTTTCATAGTCACGAATATTTTTCAATATAGTATATACGAAAAAATGATCGTAAATATGAAAAAATAAGCAGATATAATATTTGTAATTTATTCAATCAGACATGCCTAAAAGAGGATTTGCTGCCTAAATGCACAAATATATATATATATATATATATATA